CCCCAAAACCCCAAAACCCCAAAACCCCAAAACCCCATTTAATTTCCTCAGAACTGAATCTAAAGTTATAGTTTTTATCCAAAAGCCCTTCTCTTTGCTGAATAAAGCCTCATCGACTTGCCATATCTAGAAATATTCAGAGGCCATCTATTGTGTTAGAAAGATCTTACATATCGATGTTGGATTGGATTCCGTCTGCTAAATTAGCAAGAGTATAAGATAGACCTTTGCAGGAAGAACTCATTGAGATATCTGGAAGAGGGAATCTTCTGACCAAGATTAGATTTGTAATTGGAGAGTGAATGCTAGCATATAAGAAGGAATTCTTACTTTGAGATGAAGATCTAGATTAAGGTTAGACATTTTATCTGAAGTAAAAAGTGAATAATTCCCAAAGATTTGTTCTAAATTCTATTTTACCCGTTCTCATACATCCTCTAATACCTCCAACTCCAGAACCCACAACTTACCATCCCTTTGGGACTAAACACCATCTGCTCATCCTCTACTCCAAACTCTTTACCTAAACCTCTTCCTTCCTCACTCGACCACTCAAACCTATCATCCGGATATCTCTTCCTCCATCCTACATCCAAGTTCAACCTCCAGTACCCACCTTGCTGGCCTATCCCAGCTAAGCTGCTGTATTTCTCCATTCTAGTTCTGAACCTACACGGTATAAATTCCCAGAGAGACAGCAGTAAACAGAGACTTACCTTATAATTTGGTGGTTGAGGTCACAGTTGTCGAAGTCGTAAGAGTCTGGGGCTGGAAGGGTTTTGGCTGTAGGAAAGATGAGAAGGAGAGGGATAAGGGAATAGAGAATTTAGAGGGAGGAATTACTGAGGTATTTTGTAAGGAAGGACTTGAGGTAGCTGGAGTCATGGGTGATGGATTGGTTGAGTTCGTTTAAGGGGCTTAAAGGGTCTTTTCTGAGGTATCTTGTTGTGAGTAAGCCGATTATGTTCACAGTCATTGTTTCAGGAGGAGAAGAGGGGTATCTGTATGTTGGAGGTAAATATTATTGGTGGTGTTTTGGACAAATAAGAATTTTTAGAATTTTGAATTAGATTTTTACTTACTCAAGAATGAAATTACTTTCTGGGGAATCTCCGAAGTGTATCTCACTATATATTATTATTCAGTTGAAGAAAAATTTACTATAATTGTTGAGTAAAGTTCTCTTTCTCTGCAAGCCTTTGCTTTGTCTCAGATGTATCATCTCCAGGCTCATGAGCAATAAATTCCCTTGGAGATATTCCTAAATGAGACATTCTGGTCTCTACAAAATCCTTGATAAACAAACATGTGTCTCTATAATGTTTGGTATGTCCCATATGTGCGTGCCAAAGTTGGTCTACCCAATAACTTGGGCTTACATTATAATCATTTAAAGTTGCTATCACCAAATACTTCAGATAGTACAAATAAATTGCCATTGATACTTCATCAGAAAGTGATCAGTAAAATTTAAAATTTTGCAAGACTTTTTCTGGGAAGTGTAGTTGGAGAAGTTCTTCAAACAAGATCTGAGTATTCTCGTCTTTTCAATCTATCTTGAACATTTCTTCAGTGATTTCATAGTCTCAGGTAATCATTGCATCTATTTTATCAGCAAGAATTATAGCTAAAGGTTTAGTCATGTTATTGGCATCTAATTCATCAAAAAGCTTATCAATGTTCTCTGTCAGAGTGAATATACTTGTTGGCCCTGAAAGAGTTACTGCCTTGTCATATCATCCGTATTTGTAAAAATCGGTATTACTCTCTATAGATTTTGGTGATACTTATTTCATTTTTAGAGGTTAGAGAGATAATAATGCACGATATTTATCCCACAAAAGTTACTAAAGAGTTTGCTCTAAAAGGTGTTAAACATGCAGAAAGATAACTCATACAAAATGTTAAACTTCTGAAAGATTGGGAGTATAAATCAAATTTGACAGAAGTTAAGAAATGGGGCTCTCTATTTTAATTTTGAGATTTATCGGAAAGCAATTTCGCGTTTAAAAAATATGTTTTAAAGCCTAAATAAACGTACTGAAATCCATATTGAAGGGATTTGGAAATTTTTCAAAGTAAGGATAAGTCTCGATGGCATCATGAAACTCCCAGAACTTCTTATAAGTTTGATCTAGTTTTTGGGATATCTCTGCATCATTGTGAATATCTGGCTCGATTCTATCGATATATCCTCCTCATAGCTCGATTCAATACTCAAAGTAAGTCTGAGAATGAAGAATCAGCATTTTCCAGATTCTGTCAATATGAAGAGGAGCTACGAGTTCAGATCTGTAATAATTTACTCCATTTATGAATTCTTTTTGAAGCTTTGTCTGATCACCGGAAAAAGCATTATCATCTTTAATAGCAATCAGCGTAGCATTGATTGCCATGAATTTCTTGAACTCATTGATCATGATATGAGCTGTTTCAGGTGAGTAAATACAAGGTACTTCATTAAAAACTCCAAGATCATTGAGATTATTCTTTCAGACTTGTTCTTCAAAGCTAGGGCCATTTTTAATGTTCCTGCTAAAGTCAAACTGATAAGACCTGATGACTCTATCACAGAGCTCTTCATTATGATAATCAAGATTTTTAACAAGATTGTCAATGATCCAGTCTGGTACTTCACAACCCATTTTTATATTTATTCTATTAAAATCTAACCTTGCGGGGTTTTGGGGTTTTGGGGTTTTGGGGTTTTGGGGTTTTGGGG